TTCTGTTTTCAGAACCAAACTCTACTCAGGTTATAAACTCTGTTCTTACTTTTTTCCTTCAGTTTGGTGTTCATCTAAATAATTCCAAGATATAATCCATCAGAAGTTTTCTATTCCTTGCTTAGTGTAACAGCATTAATTGTTTGTATATATTTCTGGCTCTCTTTCTGTTAGTTTTGTGATGTTTGCATTGTGCAAGTAATACTATATCCGCAGATGATACTCAAGTAACTGATTTTTTTAAAAAATGGCTTTAAAATGTTTTTTATGTATTATCCAGCGTACATTTGAAATGTTAATATAATGCAGTGCAGGATAAGAGGCACTTACGAAAAATACCATTACTTATAACAGAAATAATGGGATATTTATGATATTATTCGTTCTGTAATATTGGCATGTCAATTAAAATATAATGAAAATGTTAAGGTATGTGGATGACATATTACTGGTCACAATGGTATGGATGGTTTTCTGTTCATGGCATTCAAAACATTGGCTCCCCTAAATGATCCAGCAGTGTCCAAAAATTGCTGTAATACAGAATGAATCTCAGATGTTGTCCCTTAAAAACAAACGACATATGATGAGTTTCTGCTTAGGACCCAGAACTTGATGTATTAAGGGGTAACCCTGGCTCAGAATATTTAACTTCCTTTGTTCCCAAACACCTGTTTTCTTTTCATTCACACTTGACACCACATGATTAAACTGTTTTGTTTGGCTTCTAAGGCGAATTTCTTATGAGATCACGCCATTCAGACCTGGTTGAAAGTAAATACTTTTAGTTTTTCCTTGTCTTTTCATGCTGCTGGTTTGAATAGGAGTAGGGGGAAAAAAATCTCTCCAGAATCAAAATAGGAATTATTGATAACTATATATGCAGCTAGATGTGTTAATTCTGGGAGATTTTTTTGTTTACTTCACAGATTTCTACCATAGAAGTAAAGGGAGCTGTCAGGGTTTATATTCTGCCAGAGCAGGGTTCCTCAACCTTGGCAACTTTAAGACGGGTGGACTTCAACTCCCAGAATTCCCCAGCCAGCCCAGTCCACCCATCTTAAAGTTGCCAAGGTTGAGGAACCCTGTGCCAGAGGGTTTGCAGACTGACTCATTATTACTTACTGTTTTAACAGAAAAAATAGGAGAGGTTTCTGGATTATTCAGGGCGAAGATGCCTTGCCTGTACCCCCTTAAACAGCATTATGTTATCACAGCTGCCTAAGTTCTATGAGTCTCTTACATTCTAGGGGGAGTGTAGGATTCACTGTCAGCTAACCAGATTGGTTTCACCACAAAGATGTAGCTAGAACAGAGAATCTTCTTTGGGTGGAATGGCAAAATGCGTTTGTGCCTTTCCTTTCCAGGCCAGGTATGACCATGTAATTAGGTTACAAGTAAATCACAATCCTGTAGTTTAAGGGATTAGTAACTTTGACAAAGTTTGTTTTTTTTTTCAGATTTTTTTTATCCCACCTTTATTATTTTTATAAATAACTCAAGGTGACAAATATACCTAATATTCCTTCCTCCTCCTATTTTCCCCACAACCGCAACCCAGTGAGGTGAGTTAGGCTGGGAGAGAGGGACTGGCCCAAAGTCACCCAGCTGGTTTTCATGCCTCAGGCGGGACTGGAACTCACCGTCTCCTGGATTCTAGCCTGGTGCCTTAACCACTAGACCAAACTGGCTCCCTGCAGACAACCACAAATAATAGCTTTTTGTCTTAAATCTTCCTGACATCCCTGTAACAACTCTTTCACCTTTTCTCTTGTTACAAAAGAAGCATCTTTTTTGTTGTACATTCCTGCTTTATTTTCCTAGGGTTATTTTCACCTTGGGTCTTCTATATGTCTTTTGCATTTGCCACTCGGTACATCAGGTTACTCCTGGGTATGTAGGATCTGTCTTTTGCCAGGTCAGAAAATTTAAGTCAGTGTTATTCTGACTGGCAGTGGCTTTTCTTCTAAATGAGATCATAAAGCTATCCTTTATTTCATGAGTTGCAACATTCACATACAGGCTAGATAGTAAAATTCAAACTTATTGTTGAGCCTGAATTAAACTAAGCCAGTATATAAACTCTTTGAAATTGAGGGAAAGGTATTTAAAGTTACCTGTCACTACCACAGTTTCTGCATAAAAATCTTGACTGGGGAAAATGAAAATTGTCACTTGTTATAGAAAGCAAGGGCAGCTAAGACTAAAGGTGTAGAGAAAATGCAAAGTATGTTTGATGGAAATCAAACATCCACATCCAAAATAATAGGTGAAAATTGCTAAACAAGGAGTCTCCAGCAGAGCAAATGGAATAATGAACAAAAGTGATGAAATTAAAACTAAAATGAGGAAACATTGGAAGGTTTGTATGGGAATGATAGTGATGTGTCAAAGAATAGAATTGAAATAAATGGTATAAAAGTGTTCAAGAAAGTAAGTCATAAATATTGTGAGAATGCTGAAAAATGCTAAGGTGGTAAATGCAGATGGTATAATTGGGCAAATAACATACAGGTGAGGTTTGCTTCTGGAGTGGCTACACCATTTGTTTAACGTGTGAAGACTGCATTTTGCCTGGAGAATGGAAGAAAGCTTTTATTGTTGTCTTCTACAAGGGGATAGTTAGCAAAAGTGAATGCAAAAAATGCAGGGAGATTAATTTGTTAAGTGTGCCTGGGAAGGTATTTGGCAGAATTCTGATGACAATGAGCAAAGTAGTGCTATAAGAGCAGAGTAAAGACTCAAAGACTTGAAGGCAGAAAAAAGAAAATAAAAGATGGAAGTAAAGCATACATGAAAATAAATGGCTTAGCAAATTCTTAAACAATGAGCAGGGAGTAAGACAAGGATGCATTATGTCCCCTTGTTTTATGGATGGATGGATAAATGCTTCAGGTAAAATCAGAGCTGGGTTAGTTGGAGATGTGAAGTATGTATATTTTTGTATGCAGATGATGCTGTATAGTTAGATAAGAACCAGAATGATTTGCAGCATGTTTTAGATAGCTTGTGTAATGCAACAAGGAGTATCGGTCTGAAAATTATTGCATCAAAGACCAAAGTAATTGGGCTTGACTGGGAAATGGAATAAATGATTACAAGTTATACTTAAGTGGCCAGAAAACAGAGCATACAGTATTGATCAATTTGTGTACCTTAGTAGAATGTGGGGAAGCCAACAGGGACATTGTAGGATATGCAAAACTGGTTTAGAAAAAAAAAGGTTGGCAATATGTGTTCTGTTGTGACCAGAATGTATTAAGTGGTACATGAACATAATGGAAGCAAGGATGGTTTGCAAGAACAGAAAGGGATAGAAAATATAGTGAATGGTATTGGTGTAAACTAAATGTATTTCTTTTTTTCTAAACTCATGCCTTTAATTTCTTTGGCTTGGCATTTTGTTGTCTTTTCTGCACTTCCCATAATGTTGCTTACTTCAAAAGGGAATATAGGTAGTCCTTGGGTTACAATGGCAATTGCAACCAGAATTTCCATTGCTAAGTGATGCAGTCGTGAAGCGCAACATCAAGTGACCACATCGCTTAGCGATGGCAATCCCAGCAGTCCCCAATGCCATTGTTAAGCAAGGACCTCACGTGACCGCAGTGTGGGAAGAGGCGGGAATCCAGAAGCACTTGCTTACACTGCTGAAACCGTGTCCCAGGCAAGCAGGTGGGTGGGTGCTATGAGTTTGGGTGGGTGGACACTAAGTATGAGTTCCCCATGCTGACCAGGGGCTCCTTGGGAGAAGATTTGGCGGGAGCGATTTGCAATCTCCTGCAGGCTTCCCCATTGACTTTGCATGTGGGAAGCCTAGGGAGGGTTGCAAAGGGCAATCGTGACTGCAGGATGCTGCAACCATTGTAATTGTTAGCTGGTTGCCAAGCACCCGAATCATGATCACGTGACTGTGGGGACACTGCGATGGCCACAACTTTGAGGACTGGTTGTAAGTCCCCCTTGTTTAGCACTGTTGTAATTTTGAATGGTTGCTGAATGAGTGGTTGCTAAGCGATGTGGTCACATGATGTTGCGCTTTATATACAAACATACAGATCATGCTACCTGTATAGAAAAACTTTTGAGGGAGTAAAAGCAAACAGTATTTTGAATACCTGCCTTTAAAGGCACTTCGCACAGTGTTCTAATTTTTAATGACCTTTCATAAAAAGAGAAAACTCTCCCTCTGTGTTTATTGAATCACTGGCTTTATTAATTTCTTAATTAGCTGGCTTTGGCCATAAATTGGTCAGACAGCTAATCTAGTGCAAATCTGAGGGAAAAGGTAGTTTTTAGTAGTGTATATGTTTTCATAGATAGTGACTATTTTGTTTTTTAATGGAAAATATCTGGTTTTTCTTCACATATTTTAAACCCAAGTATAGCAGTACTTGTTGAATGAAAGTGTTTAAAATTTAAGTCCTAACTGACCTGAGATCCATTTTTTTTCCATTTCAAACATTGAATACACACATACAATACTTTTCAAACATTGAAATGGAAATTTTTTCCATTTCAGAATTTCCAGTGCTGCTTTCAACTTAAAACGATAAAACATAGATAGTATGAGCAAAACTAAACATCGAGTTAAAATCAGAGATCTCTGTGATATGCTTGCCATAATATTTAGTATCTCTGTCCTTATGTTTCCAGGGCCAATATTCTACATGCTGTGCTGCTTTGGAATGATGCAAAAATACACTGGTCTACAAATCTATTGATTGTATATGTATTACGTATATATCCTTCCTTTCCTCCAGTGTGCTCAAGAAAATGTATCTGGCTCTCCACGGCCCAGATGACCAACTGTGCTTCATGGCTGAGTTGAGGAGTTTGATGCAGATGTCTCTAATCTTACCAAGAAATGCAAAGTGTTTTATAACCAAAGCCACCTTCAAGCTGTCTGCTTCCCCAACTTTAGCTAGGTGTTAACTTGACCATATTTTGCGATGGGATCTGTACAGTCTATTCATGCCATTTATATATATGATTGGTATCAAATGCTGCCTTTCAATTTTTTCTTTGCTTTAAATACCTAGAATCATGAACATTCTTCATAAGGAACCCATATCCAAGGTTAGAGTCAAATATTAGGAAGGGTGGACTTTACTTGTGGGCTGTAGGCCGTTTAGAATACCCCCTGCGTCCTCCCTAAAAGAAATCCAAAGATAACAATTGTGAGGTAGTAGAAACCTGAGCAAAGTACTTGGGCGTGTCAAGTGGTGGCATTCAAGTTTATGCTTCTTACTTCAGACTACGAAAGGGTTGTGAACTGGAGCTGTTTGTTCTGTTAAGAATACTTATTAAGGGAAGATCGCTGCCTTCCATTTTAGTGAGCAGCTTCTTCCTTTATAAATAGGATTTTGATCTTACACTTTTCCTTTTTTCTCTCTCTCCCTGCAGGTTGTGTAAGGTTTTCCTCTACCTCGCTGAGGACTTTGAAGTCATCCCCCCGAACCTTCCCTGGCAGTGCCTGAACAGCCTGGATATGATGCCAAAAGATCTCCAAAGTATTTTATAGTTTGACCCAATGATTCTTCTGGATATATATTTCTCTCTTCAAGAATAAGTGCAAAGACCAAATCCTACTTACTACCAGATATTTTTATTGCAAGATCATGGACCATATTACTAGGGAGAAAGATGAAAGGCGAACAGGAAAAGGAAATCCAGGAAGAAGTACACATAGTTCTCGAGCATCAAGTTCCACTTCGGCTGCTGGGGTTCTTATGGTTGGGCCCAATTTCAGAGTTGGCAAGAAGATCGGCTGTGGAAATTTCGGAGAGCTCAGGCTAGGTAAGAGCGTGGCCAGTTTAGTAGCTTTCAATTATGGCTACACAGCTTTGGTCACATAAGTAGTAATGTAGTTACTTAGAAAAGATTCCCTAGGGAATGCATCTCAAATTTACATGCATGTGAAAAGTACATGTCGTTGGTGGCACTTAGCAATGTTTCCTTTTCACTTCTTGCTATAACACATACGTGCATCATATAGCCCATACATGTAACACTTGCAGTTTTCTAGCTTTATGTTTGTTCAGAATTTAATGAACTTTGGTTTAGAATTCTTGAAATTAACTGACTGGAACTTTTTTTTTACTTGGATGACACCTGTCCTTGCAGTGTAAAGTGTTTTGAGGGATCATTCTTTCCTGTATTTCTATATTTATTTTTAAATGTATACAAAACAAACATTCAAGATTGAATAATTATTCTCAGATGATGGATTATAGGGGATAATGTGAGTTGCAAACAAAAGTTGACAATAAAAAAACAAGCTATTCTGTTGAACCTATTTTTTTAAATTTTAGAGAACCCCAGCAGCTAAAAATAATAACTTGTATGTCCTAGTTGCTATTTCAAACAAAATTCTCTTTCTCTTGCAGGCAAAAATCTGTACACAAATGAATATGTAGCAATCAAACTGGTGAGTAGTTTTGCAGTTTTTAAACATCTCTGCGTTCTGAAGGTTAGCCAAACAAGACAACTTTTTCAAGCCACATTTGCCCTAATTGCATCCAGCTTAGGCTTCATAGATGTGCTGCAACATGGGACTGCCTTTAAATATTGTAGAAACCAATTCAGTATCAGCTGTGCTGTTCATTAGAACCATTCCCAGCTCAATTTAAATGCCAGTGATTACTTTTAAAACTCTTATGGCTTGTCCCAAGTTTTTCAAAGGACTGCTGCACGTTAATGGAAGAGTCTGATAGAAGAGATCCTGGTTATATGCCTGTCCACTCAGTTCTCTTAGTTGGGGGGCACGAGAAGTAGGTTCAGTCATGGCACATGCCATCCCCTGAAACAAGCCATTCTAAGCTTTCCAGAAATGGTCTGAATTCAAACAAATTCTGGAATACTAAACTGTCTTCTGTGAGGTTGGAACAGGCCATTTCAGGATCAGAACGTTCTGAGATGTTTTGCATTCTCATCACCTTTCCTCTGATGGCACAGTCCTTATGTGATGACTTCCTAAATATATATCTCCCTATATTTAATTAAACGTGAAAGACGTGGCAATTTATCTGCTTTTAAAACAATAACATTTTTTTAATATATTTTTGCAGTACTTTTAAATTTATTTATCAAATGTATACAGCCGCCCATCTCACAAATGTGACTCTGGGTGGTGTACAATAAAACCAACAATTAAAACAATCAAATAGCCATAAAAACCAATTAGACATAAATATAAAGATGGAGGGAGAATGCATCAGAGAATTACACATAATAGAACCAACTCGTGGGCTCCATGTTACCAAGGAGTATCCAGGCCTGCTGAAAAATACATGTTTTGAGCGATTTCTGGAAGGTCAATAGGGTCAGGGCTAATCTCACTTCAGTGGGGGGGGGATGATGTTCCAAAGGGAGGGTATCACGGCAGAAAAGGCTTGTCTTCTAGGTCCCGTCAGATGGAACTTCTTGGCAGACGAGATCTGTAACATGCCTCTCCTGTCAGACCTGATGGGACGGGTAGATGTAATTGGGAAGAGGTGGTCCCTCAGATAACCTGGCCCCATGCCATGTAGGGCTTTAAAGGTCAAAACCAGTACCTTAAACTGGACCTGGAAGCAAACTGGCACCCAATGCAGCTTATGGAGCAGAGGTGTAATGTGTGCCCTTCTAGGGGCACACATAAGTCCCTGCGCCATCACATTTTACCCCAGTTGAAGCTTCTGGATTCTCTTCAAGGGCAGCCCCATATAGAGCATGTTACAGTAGTCAGTTTGGGAGGTGACCAGGGCATGAATAACTGTGAGCAGAGCCTTGCAATCCAGGAATGGGTGCAATTGGTGTGCAACATGAAGTTGCACAAAGGCCCTCCTAGCCACAATTGCTACCTGCTCAGGTGTGTTTGAGGCAGTGCCACCCCACCCAATGCCAAATATGGTAAAGTCCCAGATTCAGAAGGGCCTAAAACCCAAAGCCACTCAGTCTTGTCAGGGTTCAGTTGAAGCCTGTTGTTCTCCTTCCACACCCCCACAGCCTCCAGGCACCAGGACAGGACAACACCACTATTGCTTACTTCGCTGGGGCAGAGATATATAATTGAGTATCATCAGCATACTGATGATACCTCACCCCATGGCAATGGATGATCTCATCCAGCAGCTTCATGTAGATATTAAGCAGAAGAGAGAATAAAAAAACCCTGCAGCAACCCACATAGTAGGGGCCGAGGGTGGGACCTCTCCCTCCTGATCAACACTGACTGGTGTCAGTCCTGTAGGAAGGAAGAGAACCAGCACAATACTCTGACTTCCACTCCCTGGAGCCAATCTAGAAGGGTACCATGATTGATGGTATCGAAGGCTGCCAAGAGGTCAAGTAGAGCCAGGATGGATGCAATGTCCCAACCCTGCTTCTGCCAGAGATCATCCAAGAGTGCGACCAATGCTCTTTCTATCCCGTGTCCAGGCCTGAATCCTTACTGAAAGGGATTCAGATAATCCACTTCATCCAGGGTCTGTTGAAGCTGCTGTGTGACCACCTTCTCCACAACCATCCCTAAAAAAGGGAGATTGGATACTGGACAGAAATTGTCCAGTATAGTGGGATCTGGCAATGGCTTCTTGAGGAGGGGGCGAACCAATGCCTCCTTAAGGGATGGAGGAACAACCCCCTCTCTTAAGTAAGAATTCACCATCACTAGATCCCTGCCTTAGCTAACCAGGAGTGGCATGGATCTAATGAGCAGGTAGCTAAGCTCACAGTCATGAGGGTCCTGTCCATTTCCTCAGACTGTTTGTTTGCATTTTATATTTATTTTTCTGTAATTTCATTGTTTAATGTTTTTTCCTTGGAAAGTGCCTGTAGAAGGCCTTGCTGTAAAAGGCAGTATATATATTTTTACACTGGAAACCAAATTTCCAAAATCCATTTAATGTATTCCTGATCCTACGCTGTAATTTGGTGAAACAATCTACCATAAAAAGTCAGTTCAGTCTGCTCCATTCTTCTGTTTTTTATAGGAACCATTAAAATCTCGTGCCCCACAACTGCACTTAGAGTATAGATTTTATAAACACCTCGGCTGCACAGGTAAGAAGTCTTTCTCCTAGGAGTTAAAATAAATTGTGACAAAGGAGTGTAGTGAAACTAGTATTGACCCAAGCATATATTTGAAAGCCACAAATATCCTAGATATCAGAGGTGCAGTTTTTAGCTGTGAGAAGTGTAGTGCGTATAGCTCATCAACTCTGTTTGGTCTCTGCTGTCATTTGATTAGTTTTAACAGCACGAATGTTGATGATTGTGGAACTGTGTCAAGATTTGTTTAAATTTGTATTCCTTATGCCAAAAGGGAAATAAACAAATTCAATGAGATTATTGAATTCTTTTAAATCAGCATAGTTGCAAAAAATACATAATCATATTGCATAACATATCTTACCTTAAATGTAACTGACTCATTAGAAAATTCTGTAGGATGTTTAGAATATTTACTTTAGATGGCACCCATCAACCCCTGTCAAATAAATGAATAAACTTTAACAGGTTTTAAGATTAAAAATGGTTGGTTTCACAATATAGTCAACTCTAACAAGATTTTGTGAAATCTTGGGCCTTCAATTGTAAAAAATAAACATGATTTTAATTAATTTTCTTTTAGTTTTTTTAATTGGTACTCATAACATTGCACAACATTGTATGATAATGCCCACATCTAAAAAGGTTGACTGACCACTGATTTTCTGGGGTGGAGACTCAATCCATGGGTCAGATGTGTGGCAGGAACCAAAGCAATATTCAAATAATTTCTGTACCCCTCTCTGTACAGTACAACTCTGTACTGTTGGTTTTTTTAAAGTAATATCTCTCCATCTTGGAAGTGTAAATTGATTTGAAATCTGGTGGTACCTTTGAAAAGTAGCTGGTGATATGATTCAATTTGTCCCAAATGTGAAAAAGGTGAAGTATCTTAAGGGCCCTGTAAGTAGCTCTGTAGCCCATTATCAAATTTAAGGAATTGAATTCTGCCAGATGTATAAGTATTGGCAAAAATTGCTGTGCTAGCATAGGTCTAATTCAGAATTTTGAGTTCCTCTCTCCTCTCCCCCGTAACAAAAGGAAGGCCAAATGAAATGTGGTGGTAAAGAAGTTTGGGCTATATTTTTCTAGAACTAGCTGGTGGTTTTGAGTCTTTTTTGTGTTAATAGTAGTAGCTATTATCCTCTTGATACAATATAGTTAGGGTTTTTTTTGTATTTGTTTCAGTTGAAGGCTTCCCACAGGTATTTTATTATGGTCCATGTGGAAAATACAATGCCATGGTACTAGAACTTCTTGGTCCAAGTTTGGAGGACTTGTTTGACCTCTGTGATAGAACATTCACCCTGAAGACTGTCTTAATGATAGCAATTCAGCTGGTGAGTAAAGGAAGAGTTTCACATTTTTTAAATATACACCTCTGTCTGACATCAAATATTTTCAATTACTGCTTTTTTGGCCCTTGTGCAAACTTTTCTGTATGTTTTGGTTTTATTTAAGTGTATCTTGCAAACTTTTACAAGTGTTAATGCAGCAGAGAACTCCCAAAATGGAGCTCAGGCACTTAAAAGAGCAATAATCAAGTCAAGCTGCCTAGTTTGATCACAAGTGATTTATGGCTAAGGTAGGCTGCATCAAATGACTGATAAGAACAGAAAGCAGATCTTGGGTTAGTGGCTTTCAAACTGTTTGCTAGGGATTGTTAGATTGTTTTGGGCATGTTCTAGTTTTATCTTGGTTCATTTGAGATAACAGTGAAGAACAATAATTTAATGCAGCGCCTTTCATGAACAAAGTGCCAACCCAGAATGATTTCTTTGGGTTCTTTAAAAGATAGATTCTTAAAACATTGATTATGATCTACGTACATAGTTTATATTTTCCATTTCCTTTAGTTAAATAAAGGAATGCATCTTTACTCATGGCAGAAAAACTTGGTATATAAAGCTAGTGACTATAGGATATTTCCATACCTAGTGATGCTATTCTGGTGAACTTTAATTCAAAATACTAGTCCTGAACAGTTAGCAAATGATTTGTAATTCAGTGTCCTAGAATAACTTATTGTTCTGTCTTCTTGTAGATCACCCGAATGGAATTTGTACACTCAAAGAATCTCATTTATCGAGATGTCAAGCCAGAGAATTTTCTCATTGGCCGGCAAGGAAATAAGAAAGAACACGTCATCCACATAATAGACTTTGGGTTGGCCAAGGAGTACATCGATCCTGAAACACAGAAGCATATACCTTACAGAGAACACAAGAGCCTAACTGGAACAGCAAGATATATGTCCATTAACACACATCTTGGCAAAGGTTTGTTCAGTTTAATAGGTTACATTAATGGGTTCTTTTTTGCTCTATTTGTGTCTCAAAAGCATGTTCAGGTGCTGTTAATTTCCATATTGTGACTCTCTTTAAAATTAGATAGCAAGGTGACTTCAGCATACCTGCAGTAAATATGAAAACAAAGAAGTTTATGTTAGCACTACGTGTCCTTGCATAGCTGTTCATCAGTTGGGATGGACATAGCCAAAATTTCCAAATTCTTTGGCTATTTGGAAATGAGAATTAATAGTGCTTTTATTCAATTTTCCCTACTTGTCTCCTTTTGCAAGCAAAATGAACCATAGTAGCTTCTTCTGTGGTTGTTTATTGTGACATGTGAACTGGGATCTTGTGGCTATCTCTTCCCCACAAGTTAGGAATCCAAAAACAAGAATAAATCATGGCTTTTAACTCTGGCTTATTAAGAGAGGAGGAAGCCAGGTTTACACATCACGAAAAAAAAAAAAACCCTGAGCAAAGGTCAGACGTTATAATAGCGCAAAATGTCTGGAGAACCCCAGAGTGTCCAGCTTAGCTTTAACAGACATTTGTTCCATTTGAACGTGTGAGTGTCCGTCTTGGAGACTGTGAGTAAATAGCTTACTTCTGTTGTTGTACATGCAGAATAAATCTGTATTAAATTAGTAATTTCTCAGACCTCTTGTATATATGTCGCTTGTGTGTCCACGTGTTTACAGATGTCTTTTTTCTTGTACTGGAGTTAGGGATGTAATTGCTAATGTAATATTGATTAAGATGATTGGAGCAGCGTTCTGTTCTCTTACGTGTTTTAGAACAGAGTCGGCGAGATGACTTGGAAGCTCTCGGACATATGTTCATGTATTTCCTTCGAGGCAGTTTACCATGGCAAGGCCTTAAGGTAGATGCTAAAATGCATGCTCAATCAGTTTGATTTTGGCAGATAGTTTTCTGTGTTAGTTATGTGTCTCTTCTGACAATTTACTTTTAATTTAATCCTTTGGGAAGAACATCTCACTTTAGTTGTCAATGTCCAGGTTTTGCCCCACCTAATTTGATTTATTAGATTTGTTACGGCCGCCTACTCCAGAAGACTCTGGGTGGCTCACAAAATCCCCGAAAAACTAAACTATGGAAATGGTGAAATAGTTATAATTTTGCCAGCAAGGAACAAACATACTTGCTAGTAAAATTCAGTTCTGACAATTGGATAAAGGAAACCATGTGTCCTGCTTTTTTTTTTTTGCAATTTTCACAATTTTTTCTGTTAAGTAACCAAGAGAGGCTACTAATTCTGCCCCAGACCTGCCTACCTCTGAGCTTTTAAATTTCCCTGCTTCTATTTTTTCTGCTTCTCTAGAAAGTCCTTTGTTCACTGCCCGTTGCTTTTCTTATAACTGCACTTTCTCACTGGCATCCCACTTTCCATTTTAGAAAGTAAACAGAACAACGACAACAACTAAAGATCTGAAATCAGCTCTCCATGCTCTTGCTTCTTGAAGCTGGTTAAGGCAGAACGGTGACAAAACTAAACACACACAAAAATGCAGTTTGTTAAAAAAGGGAGCTACTGTACAGAGAGGGGACCAATTTGGTTTTGTTTTGCAGATGGGAAAATTTAAATTTCTGTTTTTTTAGCACTGATGTTGAAAACATAACTTGCTGAGTTATGGTGCAAATAAAAATGTATCAGGATGAGACACGAGGACCTAGCTAAATGCTTGCCAATCTCCTGTAACTCACCCAAAGATTCTTCCTCTGTTTACTCCGCCTATCCTTCTCTCCAGGACAGCATCCTACATATTGCGATCCAATGACAGTTTTTAAAATTAGCATCTCTGCATTTCACAGGCTGATACACTGAAAGAGCGATATCAGAAGATTGGAGACACAAAGAGGAATACTCCAATCGATGTTCTCTGTGAGAACTTCCCAGGTAACTTTTAGAGCTGGTGGCTTGTCATTTCTGTAAATTACTCCTGGAAATAGAAACGATTAAGACGGTGATTTTTAGAACAGAACTAGTACAAAAAATGTGCACACATTGGGAAACTATAGTTTAATGTATGACAACCATTAGAGTTGGCCACTAATTTCAGTTATAGTTTAAAATCAGTGACTTTTTCCTGAACTTGTATTTGAATAATTACTTGCAGCCTCCTGATATCTCAAATGTGTTTGTTAGCTATGCAGATCTAATCATGGTAAATTCCAGCTGGTCAAGTTTGTGACAGCTCTTGTCATATTTTGCAGTCTGCCTTATATTTGATAAAACTTTCTGTTTTTGCAGTTGGCTAACAGCCACAAACATAGGAGTTTCAGTCATCTGGCAGGCTGCAATGAATAGTTTGTGCTGCCTGTGCCAGGAACTGCAGGTTTGATATGACTGTGCTAAATATATTTTTTGCTAATTGTTATGTTCAGTACAGATAATATACTTGGATTAAAATACATAGCGAACTCCAGGTGAAACGTTCAGAGCCTGCTCTTGTTGGAGCAAATAGGCAGGGAAAAGGCATTCTTGATGCTTGTGTTAAGATACTTTGGTAGCTTCTGGTACTATCAACCCTTGTGCCAGTGAACTCTTGCCAGGATGGGCCCTGAAAAACATTGTTCTCATGGTTCCAGTCTGTCCTGCAAGTTCATTTCCATACTGCAGGAATATGGTTTCTCTGTCACAGAATTTGTGGTCTTGCTTCCCACTGTTTCATATGCGTGTGAAACTGCTTTCTAATATTGAGAAACTTAGACTGTGGTGCTTGATGCTCTCTTCTTTTCATCTAATCATGGGGAAGAAAGAAGAGCTCTGAATATGTGTTGTAAGAAATGATTAAATGAGGGGGATTACTCTGAAACTTCTTTAGAACGTGCAGTTCCACCAGTTTGCTTCAGATCTGTGCTTTTAAAAGTGACCTAATCCTTGGGAGAGCATTACCTATATCTACTCTGAGTCACCTGGCCTTTCTCTTACTTGGACTTTCTGTTGAGTTCAGCCCTTTCAGTCTGGGTTCAAAAATCCACCAACATAATAAATTCACAACATACGAAAGCTATAATTTGCACCGCAGCAGCGCTCAAACTATTTAAAGCAAGCATGCCACATCTCCTTCTTTATGGTGATCAGCCCTGTGCTTATGAAGATACACCTACATTAGAATCCATTAAGTCTAAATTTCTGCTTTAGCTTGAGTTTTTGAAGTGACTATACCTACATATTTGATCTTTATACCCACACCCAATGCATTGAACTGTTGGGAGAATAAGAATACTAATATAAACACATAGTCTTCCCAAAGCTGGTGCCTACTAATTGTTTTGCCTGTTAGTCCTTTTTCATAAGTCTTTAAATATTTCAACTGTATATTTAAGGAAACCCTTTAGAAATCCATGGCTTTGTATCCCACCAACCCAACAGATTTGTTTCTCGTTTGCCTCTGTAAACTGATAATTTAGGGGTTTAACCTGACCAATAGGTAACGCTGAAATGTATTCTGCTTCTACTTCTTTCTGAACAGATTGTCTGATGTTGCTTCTTCCTAATTCCCTTTAACAGAGGAGATGGCCGCTTATCTTCGTTATGTCAGACGATTAGACTTCTTTGAGAGACCAGACTATGATTACCTACGAACAATCTTCACAGAATTATTTGAAAAGAGAGGATTCACCTTTGATTATGCCTATGACTGGGTTGGCAGACCAATTGTAAGTTGTAAGCAAGTGAGATCTGCTGTATTTTCCAGAAGTTGCTCTTTAAAAGCCAATTTGACAGAACATCATTGTCTCGTTATTTGGGAAGCAAGATGGCCTCCTATATTTTTGGGGGAACTTTCCTGCAAACCTAGATGTTCATGCTATATTTTTCTTCCCGAGTTTTTTTTTTTTTTGGAGCGGGGGAAGTGTTTCGTTTTGGTTTTTAGCAAATGGGATTTTCTAGACAGTTAGTGCAATGTTGCTGCTCTTGCATTAGGGATGGAGAATACATTTTTTCCTGCATCTCTTTGATAAGTGTAAAATGTAAACTAACAAAGTGTAACCCACATATCTGTGGATTACAAAAGCAAATTGGAAGTGAGGCTGTTAGAGCCTCGCTTTGCAGAGCATTCAGATAAGATTGTCATTTCCAACACAAGTTACGAGGTGTTAGTTGTATCCCAACTCCAACCATAACCATTAATTTTCAGCAGTATATATTTTTATCGCTTTAGGTGTAGTTGCAAATACCAGTATTATATCTGACAAAATCCTGAGAGATTGCTTGAGACTTGAAAATTTATAGTGAATACTGAGTAGTATGGACAAGTTCCATTTATTTAGACCGTGTATACTATATGTTTCAGTTAAAATAACCTTGATGCTGCTTGAGTGTAATAAAAAAGATGCTCTCAAGTTCACAATCCAAAATGACACAACATAGAATGTGCCTTGAGTTGTCTTCTCTGCTATCAATTATTATATTGCTAAAGTCAAGTTTAAAGTCATTTTGGGATTGTCCTTCCCTTTGGTAGAAAAGTAACTAGGCAGTTTCCTGAAACTCACTCTCCCACACATAGTTGTTATGTTAAAGAGGGTTTCTAAATGGTTTATTTCCTGTGCTCTCTGGTACTGGAATCTGAATCATTCTTGTCTCCCATCTTGTATCTCAAGGGATGCAATATAACCCCAAGAATTTCTGCTTTGTTGAAGAAAGCTTCAGTTGTTAGGGCTCTGGAGTTCTGTTCTGAAATGTACTTGTCACGTTTAACCTATTGCTGCGATATTTATCTCGGGAAAAGATTTTGGGTGTTGGGTCTGCAGATTAAAATATATGCATAAGAACAGTCATCTAATTAGATAAATAAAGGGTTCTGAAATATAGAGAGACATTGCATGATAGATCTTAAAATCATGAGTATTGACATGATTCAATGACTGCCGATTGTAGCTCTGGAATGCTCCACCTGACAGAAGGGCATGGCCATTGAGAATTACTACTGTCCCTAACAGAATCCTAGTATCTGCCAGCATTCCAGGGGTTGCTGCCTATGTGCTTTTCTGCAACCTGCTGGCTCTCATGCCGAGGAAGCTGCAGGCTCTTGTCGCAGAACCTGAAAGCTTTGACTGAAACCAGCCCTTTTGCTAATATTGCAACTGTGAACACACCTGTTTGTTGAGCTGACCGAGATAGTTTGAGTCTCACCGAAGCATATGGTTGTGTCTGTATTTTATTTTCCAGCCCACTCCGGTGGGACCCATGCATGTAGAATCGGGACCATCAGTAACAAGAGATCCCCATATACATCGGGATCGATCCTCAGTACAGCCTTATCGAAATCAGGTTGGTTGGTTAACCTTAAAACTTAATGCTTAAAATGTATCTCCCTATTTCCAGCCTTTAGTTAATTCCTAAAGGGACACAGAGAAAAACTAGTGATGACATTGGCATTACCGGAAGCCTGGTTAATACATACTGCTCTTTCTCTTACAGCTCTGCCATGGCTGTTATTGGAGTGGGCGGATATGTCTTTTTAACAAGGGTACCAAATAATTCGAGCCCCAGATGCTAATAGGAGCAAATCCCAGTCTGAGAATGGAGAACTGAAGAGAAACCAGACATTGCTACCTTTGGTTTTAAAATATAGTTCAATGTATTATTGTGAGAATGATGGATGTTTTGAAGTGGCTTTTGCTCTGCAGGCTATTCTGGTCAAGTGCAAAAGTAGGAAACACGTGGCCCCTGAGCTATCCTTGCTAGCAGGATCACAGATGCTAAGAGATTAGCAAAGTCCAGAGGGAAACGCAGGGCCCGTCCATGCAGTGAGCACGCAGATGCACGCTTGTTGTTTTTTACTTCATTGATATGCAATAAAGCATCAGTCAAATCAATTAATAGTAGAACTGTGCTGTCAGCAGCAATTAGAAATAGCTGACAATGAGTTGGCAGAAGCACTGATAGTGCGCAGTCTAAAACTCTTTCTAAATATCAATATACTTATAAAATATGTCTCATGCGTATCTGCAAAATTTAAAAAAGAGATTTATTTTGTATTTTTAACTGTATGAAATCCAGTTCTGCATTTACTGCTTTGTGCCTTTAGGCATCCTTGTTAAAGTGAATATTTAACGCCTGAGATGCTTTTAAAATGCTTTGCTTCCCTGTCCCTCTTTGAGCTTACCACATGCTTGCTTGGTTCTGGTTCACCTTTGCCTTTCCTCCGGTCTCTTTGCTTTCCTGCATGCCGATGCCTGGGCAGACTGCGTCAGAGCGCAGAGGAGACTGGGACATACCAGCAGTCCGGCAGGCCAATACTTTGTTTCTGACATCTCACTTGGCTTCTGAACGGCATGGGGGATCTGTCCAGGTATTGCTTTTTCCTCTCCCGCACAGCTTTTTGGCCATCACTGTTTTGTGGATCAGTCCTTGGGCATGTGCAGGGTCCCCTTGATCTTTTAGCTGCACTGGGTGGCTTCTGCTAGAATGATGAGGGTGGATGGGCATGATACGAAAAGTTTGTGAATGCCAGAAGACTTAGAGCTGACTAAGTGTGATGTTGCTGTTTCCAGGGTTGATTCTTTAGGGCAGCCTTTCCCAATCTGGACATCTTCCATGGGTGTGAACTTCAATAGGATTCTCAATGCAGACCAATCTGGCTGGAGAAGTCTTGGAATTAATCCACATATCTGGAGGTTGCTCAAATTGGGGAAAGCTTTTTAGGCAGAACTTAGAACACAAACTTTATGTCCAAATCTACCTTCTATCCATATACCCTTTTCCTGTTCCTTCCCTCCTCCTCCTCCCAACCCACTTTAGGGAAGAAAGAGGCTGTCAGTGGAAATGACAGCAGCTCTCAACTATGTCAGACTAAAATTGATCCTCAAATCCCAGGAGATGCAAGGAAGGCCAGGTCTTACCCCATATATGACTATGGTTCTTCTGACTTCAAATGACTTGGACTGAAGCCAGCATACAAATTAGCCCCATCACCCATTGCAAGATTATATGTTGTCAATCAAATACTTATTAAGGATCTGCTGCACAAAAAGACTGATGTAAGTGTGAGGAGGGGGCACTGAACAATACATAAGGAAATCAGGATCAGAACATTATGGTTTCCCACATGAAATTTGTATCCATAAGCAATTTCATCGGCAAAGTACTACCTCATGATCTGAAGCAGCCATATGTTTTCCTTCCTGGCCTTGTGCTGCCAGAATAACTTGTAAAGTGGTCTTCATTGTAGTGGTGATTGTGCGTGGCCTCCTGATCAACAGATGTGCCAAGATGGAGGGAAAGAGGCTGAAAGGGACGGGGAGGAGAAGGGTGATAAAACAGGTTCTGTAACACCAGAGCACTGTTGCCTTTGTATCCTCTTCTGCCTCTGTTCTCTGGTTTTAGAGGTTAGAGTGTTAGAGAATGGCTAACTTCTTTATAGACGTGAAAATAAACCAATGTGCTTCATAGCTCATGAGGTGGTTCTTTTTTCCTTCTGTTTGCCTTCTTGAGATGCTCCCTTTTCCAGTAGCTAAAATGCCTTTGTAGAGCATGTCTTTGCCATGCTTTCTTACTTGACAGGCTAAAAGGGCAGAAAACATTCTGGAAGATGCAGTGAATAAAATTCCATAACTAATTTTGTGAAAGAAGACAAGAGTTTTGTCATACTTAAAAAAAAAAAATTGTTCCATCTGTATGGCTATATTTGCATGCCATTTCCATCAATTTATCTGTGTGCCTTTGAGGGCTCTCCTTCCGGGCCTCCTTGGCCCCCACTGACTCAAAACCATGACCCCCCCCCCAAACCCTTATAGACAGGATGCAACATCCCTTTTAGCTTGGTATCTTTTAAAAGTTGTAGTGACCTTACCCATATTCCTACCAAAAATCCACTGCCCCCACCCAAATAAATCCAGGAAAGGTTGTAGAATACTTTAAACTCAAGCTAAGTGTGATTAAAAGCACTTTCTAGTGTGAAATAACATCCCTTTCTGAATATACTTTTCTTCTTCACTCGATGACTGACGTTAGCCATTCCCAACCTGACGCCCTCAAGATGTCTTGGTTTATTGGTTGGGAAAGGCCTGTAGGCTGCATTTGATGCAGCTTTGACATACACTGGTGTGTGGTCTTATGTCCCATATTAACAGTGTGTGTATGTTTGTATTCTTTCCAGGTGGTAAGCTCAACCAATGGTGAGTTGAACATTGAAGAGCCAACAGGAGCACCCTCCAATGTGCAACTTGCAGCCCGTACTGAGGTGGAAGTAGTAGAGGAAGCTAAGTATGTTTGCTGTCAAGCAAGGTTTTCCCTGCGTCATCTCTGTGTGAAATATGTTGGTGTGTTTCCGTGCTTTGATGCGCCCATACTCATAATGTGTTGTCAGATCCTTTTTGGCTTTCCTTCTTGCATGGATAACCATGGCATTGCTGGGTACAGCTTCTTTTCCCTTGGGCTGTCTAGGTCATGCTACTTCTGATGAATGCATGTGCTGCAAATTTGACAGAGGATTTCAGAAGAATTTGCAAGTGGCATGTATAGCCGATTCCCCGGGAGTTAAGGCTATATCTTTTGGCCTTTAATGCCGTATGCACTTTAACAAATTCAGTTTCTTTGGGGTAATGTGGAGATTATAGTAGAGAAACATGTGTCCACTTCCCCATTCCCAGCCTTCTTCTGGAAGGTTGAGGCTATGTTGTTGTGCTATAACTCCTTGAAAAGAGATGATTTTGTGTTCAGGAGGGAATTCTTTTGGCTCATAGAAATCATGAATTATTTTGCTTGCAGTGGAATTTATTTTGCTTATATTAGAGGTTGAGGCCATTATTTTCATCTCTACCATCCAGTGCTACTGTGCATGATCTATGATCACTGCAGGAACCATGATGTGGAGCTTTTTTCCCCCTCATTTCCTTTTCTTCACGAGGAAACAATTAATTACACTGAGAAGAAGGTTCCTCAAAGACTTAGTGGGCCACAGCATCGCTGTTTGCTTTACCTTGCCTTGTTGTGGCTCCGGGCAGTCTTTCAGCAATCGTGACAATATTTCTGTAAGTTTCTTGGCAAATGCGATCCTTGATTTGCTAGGCTAAAGGTGAACTCCAAATGTTCTTTCCAGAAAAGCAGGTCTGTGCCTTACCTTTAATTATGCTTCAGGTTCTGAAGCTTCACTGGAGAAGAAGTAATTGCCGAGTAATCCTTTAAGAAACAGGTTATCATTTTGCAAACATTTCTACCTTCTCTCTTAAGAAGAATTCTATAACATCTTTGGGCTTAGAAGAAGGAGAATTTAAATGTTTTTAAATGAGCTTAAGTATACTCGTGGCAAAATGTTGTGCTTTTCCAGTTGATAACTTTGTTGCACTGCAGATGGTCAGTGACTTTCTGTCGTTAAAAAATGGGAAGGAGAGATTAAGTTAATTTTTAAAAATTAGTTGTACTTATACAAAGTGCTGGGAGATTGCTCAGCACTTTAGCAACAGGCTCGTTCCCAGGAAATGTCACACAAGTGGACTAGACTCCAGCACTTAGGAATGTCCATTTGGGCAATAGCTTTCATAAAGTCCTTGACCAAGATAACTCTTCCGACACTGCAGCATCTACTAGGCAAAGGTAGACCATCACCTTTGTGATGGGGCCAGTCAGGCTGAAGGAAACATGGTCTCACTACTGTTCTCATGGCGCTCATCATCTCCCACTTAGTTCAATAAGTCTTTTATTCCCAAGTAATTGTACCTAGAATTGCATGTCACGGGCAATTGTCCTGAAAACATTCCGTTCCACTCCAGTTTCATGAGAGAAGCTTTCTTCTGGGATGGAGGTTTGGGCTGCCAGATCTCGATTGCAAATTCCAGGTAACCACTACCTGGTGTATCACTGTTGTCACCTAGGGGTCATTTGGATATTAGCAGCCCAGAACTGGTAGTTGTAATTGAAGTGGAAGTTAGGGGATGTTAATGTGCACTGGAAACCATGATTGTTCTCTACTATTATAAATGTTTGTGGCATAGTGCCGCCTCTGTGCCAAACTTTCCACGGAAATAGTACCAAGGTTTATCTTCAATTATGTTAGGCGATGAGTATTTCCAAAGTGTTTCTCACTCAGCCATCACACAATTTCATCTTATGTCTTGCAGCCCTTGTTTTTCTTACTTTGATTTTTGCCAGGTCAGCCTCTTTAAAACCACTTGTTGACAGCATTTCCAGTAGCATCTTCTAACCAAATGTAAAGTTGCATCTGTATTCTTACTGACCAGTCTTGTGTCTTAGCTCTATTAATTCACGCTATACTCCAGTTTTTATTTTTTTTTTCCTTTCAATTCTCCTCTTGGTGGCCATTGTGTTTCTGCTTATACTAGAGATCCAGGCCATTTGCTCTGGTTGCTCTTAGGTAAATTTTCTATTATTTTTTTTTCACACTGACAACAATTGCTTTGAAATAATTCCATTAACTCTAACTGCATTGCTGATATTTCCTTCTTGCATGTTCTGTTCTTGTCCCAAGTTAAATGACTTTGGCTGTACTTATACCTATACTTACTTCAAAGTAGAAGACCTCTTGCCACCTCACCACTCCTGTTTTTCCTTGGCAGAAATGTAGTATTTTCCCTGTAAAGTAAGGGATATGAATGAGCCTGTCCTTCTGTTTAATGCTATTCTTGCATCTCCTTCCTTTTAATCTATGGCACTGCATTTTTTTCTGCTAGATAATGCCACTGAATCTCATCCTTTTTCTTAAATCTCCTTTTTATCTCTATTACTTTCCATATTACCCTGATCTTTTCAGTCACTCATTTAAGACTCTAAACACTCATTCCTAACTAAGTTTGTTAGATGTTGTTTCCTCTATTTTAGCTTGCTTCCATTTTTTTGTGGTTGTCTCTGTTCTGTCTAATTTGGACTATAAACTTCTCATGCAAGGAATGCTACTTCTGTCTGAATCCTGTAGGTTTTTTCCTCCCAAATCACAGCAGACTAACTTTCACTAGAGTGATAAATGAAGGAAAGTTAGAACTTTAATTATGTTATTGTTCATCAAAGCGTTAATGTGTTTAGGGTTTAAAACTCTCTAGGGTTTCCTTGCAAATTTTCCAAGAGTATTTTCCAACCCAACAGTTCAGAAACTTCTTGCTCCCATCTGCCAAAGTCTACTGAACACGATTTTGCCCCTATGACCATATTCTGGTGCTCTGGAATAATGGTCTGATTACTTCTTTTTGTCTATCTCAGAAATGCCCATCATGGTATCTCTTCCTCAGTAGTTACGGAGGGTCAGGTGGAACCAGATTTGAGAAAGCAGATGGAGCTGGTGTCCTCAGATCTGCAATGCACGTTTGCATGACTGCCATGACATGCTTCCATCTCACCTCTGAGCTAATGTTTCCTTCTTTCCTTTCTGTGTTTTTATTTGTCTTTCTTTCTTTCTCCTCTCACTGTCTGTTGTAGCTGCCTGAAAATGCTCAACTTGTGGTGAGTCACTCTCTCTGGTTCACGTACAAGGGGGAGTGAATCAGACTAGGCTATGCTTGGCCAAACCAAAGTAAAATTAATTGACTGGGCAGAGTGGATGTTTAAGAAGTGGTTTCGTTAGGGCAAGGCATATAGGTTGGTGGTTAGATTGGCACGTCAGTAGCTTATCTCTTAAAAAAAAGGGATTGTGGATAAACACTTTGAAAGCATGAAGGCACTTCACTTTGTTCCTGAAGTTGTTGTACTATCCAGCTTTCTTATTAGCAGTTCATTTGCCATGGATATACTTTGTCTTTTTCTTTTTGATCCTTTATTTGTAAAAGGTGTGTTTTATTACTAGTTTCGCAACAGTTTCTATTGTCTCATGAAGGACTTGGACATTTCCTGTGCTAGGGATCAGTACTATGAGAATAGTCTGGTTTTTGTACCGGAAATCCTAATCCATAGGATTAGGAGGAGCTAAAGTAGAACTAGATTCCCTCTATCCAAACATGGATCCACATAACCAGGTTTCTCTGACTATTGGCAGCAAGTGGAGAAGAGGGTGGTTTTTAATTACATAGGCCTTTAGCTTGGGAAAAAAGGACAGGGGGTTGGCTATAATTGAGCTTTGATTCCAACGATAATCCCCAGTACTTCAAAACCGCATAATGCTGGAACATGATTTTTCAAGCCTTATCATTCTTGGGGCTCCTGTATTGGAAACATTCTGCCCCAGGAATTATTGGGAAAAGCAGTTTGTGGGCTAGCAGGGAATGTTTATGGCAAAAATAGCACTTGTTAATTTTGCCACATAAGGAATTTTGCCCATGCTTAGAGTTTCAGATGTGGTGGTGGGGGAGATTCCCTGTCAAATGCCAGCTGTTTTGGCTGCTGCAGTGTTTCTGAATTCTGAGGACTTCTGTCTCTAAGATGGACAATGAACAGTCCCATCTTCTGTCTAAACAGGATGAGATAGCTGGAGAACAGTGAGGGGTGGGGGCTTCCCTTCCCTTCCCCTCCCTTCCTGTCCCATCCCATAATTCTGGCCTTCAAGTTTCTCCCTTCGGCCAGATTCAGTTTCCCATCCTGGGACAGACTGAGCTGCTATGTTTGAGTGACATCTCTTACTTTTCTTAAAAGCATGTAATTGGAATTCAAGCCACTATTGAGCCTCATAAACAGAGTTTAGTGTGTTTTCCCAGCTGAACTAGTGGCCCTTAATTTTAAAAGTTTGTTGATTTTTTTGCACGTGTACATGTTCATCTACATGCTCATAGTTGGCACCAAGGATTATGAAAGTTCTGAGGTGGCCAGTATAAGTCATGGCAGTTAGCAGTTTTGTAATCTAAAATGAACCTGTCTCACTGGTTTGTTTTAGAATTTGGCATTTGAAGAAATTTGTTTGGCCATCCATGTCCTGTATGGGACTCCAGTGACTTCCCCATTTTTTCCCACATAAAGCATCTCAGGTTGCATCAGATGCTGTTCCTGATAGACCCCTGACCTTGGAATTACTTCTCAGGTAGTTCTGTAAATCCCCTGATTTTGTGCTACAGAACCTCATCTTTATCAAGCTGTGGATGTAGCTTGTCCCTGAAAAAAAGCCACAAATAGACTTATGGATTCTTCTTCAGTGAACATAAACAGCACATAACTCATTGACTAACCACATGTTCTGTTTTTGTACACTTGCTAAATTTTGCTCTGCAAAAAAAAATGCTTTCCTTGTGTCTATTTTTTTAGATTGTAAGCCCCTCGGGGTATGGACCTATCAGATCTGTTCTTTGTGATGTACTTGGTGGGTGCTACAGAAATAAAATAAAGACAGTTTT